TTGGAAAACTATATTCCCAAGATGCTAAAACAGAGTAAACGTGTCCTGTTTTCAGAAAATTCAATTTTAAGTTTCCTAAATCCTCTGTCTTCTACATAACTCCCCAAATATGTCGCTCGTTGTTCCTCTGACTAAAATGGGGAGTTGGGCGTATATGAGAATTGTGTGTTCCTGGAAGCATCGAGTTTGTAAGACTGGAGTGCTGTCTAAGGTCTAATCCAGATGTTCTAACACTAACTACATCCCGGGCAAGAGCTGGGCTTAGATAAACAGATTTTACCTAAATTAAACAATGTAACCGAAATTACAAAAACATTGGATAACATTTTCCAGCTAGTTATCTATTGATATTATTAAATGTTATTTATTTATATTGATCTAAACAGATATTATATATAAATTTTATATTATGATAAGTATTAGTATTTTTTTTTATAGCACCCACCTATTCTGCAGCGCTGTACAACTGGAATAAAAAAACAAAGAAATAATGACAAAATAAAACCTCGAAAGGATGAACTAAGCAGAAACTAGAGGTTAACCCGGCCAAAATTACACAAATGTTTCCTGGGACACCGTGCCGGGGGTGTGCCAGCCCCCCCATACATGGTGCCCTGAAGGTGCCACAATGTCACAAACTGACTATTAGCCTGCTGAAAATAACTACAAACCACAATACGGTGTCAGACATATTATGACATAATTATCCCTACTACATTGTGGAGTTTAAATATAGAATTATCTCTACTTCAGCGTGGCGTTTGCATCTAGAACTATCCCTACTACAGGGTGGCGTTTAGATACAGAATTATCCCTACTACATCGTGGAGCTTAAATCCAGAATTATCTCTACTACAGCGTGGAGTTTAAATTGAGTATTTTCCCTACTACAGCGTGACGTTTAAATCTAGAATTATCCCAAATATAGCCTGGCATTTAAATCTAGAATTATGGTGCAGGGACTGAGGCAGGAATTCTCGGGTGCTTCATAACTATTACTGTAATTGCCAGTCTCTCTGTTTATCCTGCACACATGGGTCTGCTTGTATATACCCTCCACCCCCACCCGGAGCATTAATTACACTCAGATGGTGCTATGTGTGGAATGTTTACCTGGTTACACTGGTTTACCGGAATGTGACAGATTTCTGTTCGGACATACAGGGCCTTGCTGGTAACTCCATGATTGCTGATTCAGGGCTGCATTGATAATAGCATGCAGGGTCCAGAAACAACAGTACTATTTATTATTCCTATTGGTATTCATACAGCGCCAATAACTCCGCAGAACTTTACAATATAATAAAAAGGAACATTTAATGGAAAGGGACATTTTAATAATCTCAGCCAAGGAGGTGGGACGGTGGAGAATACTTTATACTGCACAGAGGTGGTCCGGTCACTAACGGCTAGTTTAACACTGTACATGTTTGTATTCCTGACACGATGGTGTTCCTTTAAATTTCCCCCTTTATAATATTGTAAAGCTCTGCGGAGTTAAATGCTAATAATAATAATAAATAATGAGTGTTTATGGCAGCAAGGAGGCGAGCACTGAAATGTAAGGTAAACTTGTTTTTAATTGGTCATTAAAGTGTAAGCTCACCGGCCAATGACAAGGCAAACTACTTTAAGGAGTCCTACACTAACAATTCACCTTGCAGCTCTCAGATTCCGTGTAATGGGGTAGAAGTGGGTAATCTTAGAAATTGTTACCAGCTAATTTCTCTATGATTTTCTTTGTGTTTTATTACACTGCCTTGTTACTCTGCACCTCGTTTGTGCCCTGTTTAGGGTTAAGTTTGAACATTACGCGGCAAAACAGCAAAAAATTGCAATTTACTCGCTATTTCCTCTTACAATAAGGAAATGTCTCGAGCCGTGAAATTACCTTCCAGTGAAATATATATTTACATAGTTATAAGGTAAGAAAGGTTGAAAGATGATTCCAGTCCGCCAGCTTGTCACGTCATTCGTTCTGTCACAAAATGGGGTGGGGGGGGGACTGTTGGGGTTTTATTTATCAGTAGGACACACTGAGATACAGATTTAGACAATGTAGCACAAGGTTTGAATGTGGGAGTGAATGGCTAACAGTGGGATGATGTGAGTTAAATTAACGGATGGGAACCTGAGGAGCCCTGTACTTACGTTTTAGGCCTTTAAATGGAATGCATGGTTTTATAGGGGGTACATCTACTAAACAGTGATTTTACAAATGTTCTTATGTTGGTCATTGGGTGTCCCTTAAACAGGTTCAATATCTCCAGCCGAGAAAACACATCATCCGTGAATAGTAAGCGCTCAAGCAGACATCAATCGACGTCCGTCACTTGGACATTTATAAAAAAAATGCATCTTAATTAAATTCCAAGTTACGGATTAAATGTCGATTGTCAGTTTTCAACAAACTTTACTTCGATTTATGAAATCCTCTCCGTTGATGGATGAGATATATACATTTCTTTTCTAATGCAGGGGTGCCCACGTAATGGCTCTCCGGATGTTATAAAACTACCGGTTCTATGATGCTTTGTCATTCTAAAGGCAGTTCTCGGCACCATAAATGGCTTCGCATTGCTGGCTTAGATCAGTCTCAGCCCGGCTATAATAACTGCTAATATCTGTCTGCTTTGCATATATTTCAAATATATCCAATTATATCCAGGGAGATCTGTGTTTGTGGATTCAGACTTACAGTTTGTCCAAATCTCGCCTGCAGAAGAATTACATCCCATTAAGTCACTTTTGCCTAATTTTGTGCCATTAAAAAATGATTATTGGGCTTTTTGTCCATATTATTTAAATGTAACAATAATTTAGAGACCCATTCTTTAAATGGAAAATAAATTAGCTCGGTGACAAATTCTTCAACTGTAATTTTATTAACGCTAAACCAAATGTAATTAAACTATTCACAGTGTGAAGGGGTTTCCATGCAGCGTTGTCACTCCATTAAATAATTTATTGATCAGTTAGTGAGCAGCTGCCTGTAATATGATCAATAGGGCGAGCTTGGTCTAACCAATGGGACCCACTGATATGGCGGATGGGTACGGTACATATATGGGTTATATACCAGGAGGTAGCAGATCTAGCCCCCCCCGGTTCTGCTATCGCCTTCTTTCAATGGTCAGTTTCTATAATATAATTATAATTAATTAACCCCAATCAGGGATAACTCCGCCTCCCACCTTTATCCCGTCTAGTGATATATTTATGTTATACGCAGATACGGCCTTAGTGGAAGGGCCTGGATAGATTCATATATTTTATTCCGGAGTTATATAAACATTTATGAATACTTAGTACTATTATAGCGTTGCCATGTTGTAGTTAATCCTGCACTGCCATCTAGTGGTAGATGTGTGTATTGTCATACTGTGCTGCCTGTGTGTGATATTATTGTTTGACCGATCCTCTCTATGTACATTTCGGATTACAATTCTTTATTTTTTTTTAAAGTGTGTTTAGTCTGCATTGCCATTATTTTTTTTCTGCCTTGTTATTCTCCCCCCGACAATCACGTTTAGTTGTATATTTTTGTGTTCTGCTAATTTATAATTGTATAAAGCAAAGCTTGTGTTATATTTTACTCGGGGGATCTGGGACGAGTTTATTATACACTGCTTGGCAGAGAGAATTTAAAGCCATGAGTAATGGTAAAGTCACCGTCTGAATAAACAGACAATACGAACGCAATTCATGCTAAAATGAATGGAGCTAATGGCCTTATGTTTCAGGATTTGAAAATCAAGTTTTCCAAATTTTGGCTTCTATTGATGTAACGTGATGATGTCCGCCGATCGCCGACACTGTGAGTGTTGACGCACAATGGCGTCTTGTCCAAGGTCCAATCAGCAATCTGAGAATCGCCATGGGATACCCTGCGATAGCCGGCGCATCTAAATAAACATCCTCCTTTTATAAAACACATCTTCTAAATGTCAGCGGTGTCTCATACATGTGTGTAATATATTTCATACTGACTATATCTACGCTTCTCGTTGTCTGATACTAGATGGGTTATTCCCGATAACGCACATTAATAAATAACTGAGAACCTTCTGAAAATGAAACCATTGGATAAAATACTGAAAATCACTTGTGTTAAGCTTTTCATCTGGTGCCTGCTCTCATCTCAATGAATGTTGGCTAGTTAGTAATATTATATATCTTTTTATATAAAGGAAGCGCTGATATTGGCTGTTAACGGAAAAGGTAATAATCTGAAAGACACAACACCATGTAACCAGGGTGACCAGACCTACCACGTTTTCTGGGACATATATCACGTATTGATGGGCAGCACATGAAAAGGGCTGCCCTGTACTATGTAGAATTCAGAAGAAGGTGTATAAGATCGAGTAATTAGAGAATGAAGAATCCTGCAGAATATGCATTATACATACTGCAGGGCAGCCCTTTTGATGCTTTTTATTTCAATATAACTAAATTATACGTGTCCCTGAAACATGATGGATACATTAACCCTATTTAGAACTAATTTCAATGTTATTTTCCTGGTTCCAATTACGGGAAGAAAAAGTGTGGGCAATATTTTTCAATGAGCTCGTGACTGGAGAAAAGGTCAGTAAAACATTTTCAAATCATTTTTATTGCAGTTGAGAGCTCAGAACTGGACTGGGGCATGATAGTGTTAGGAATATAGGATACGGCTCCTTTAATCGAAATGTCACAAAAAAAATAATGAAAATGCAGATTTTACAATGTAATTCTGACCTCTGGTGGCCATTAGTGAGAATGACAGAGTGGCCAGTTTTGCTCTGTGAGGCTTTCGTCTTGCAGTGCTTATCGTGTTATCGAGGAGACTTTATAACTGATAACTATTTCTGCCATTTGACGAGTAATTTAACTATTCGAATACCAGAAGTGTGTTTCCAATCCATTGGATGCGTAACAGGCATTCGAAGAGTTAAAGCGAAATCCAAGTCAAAGAAGATTAAACTCTTGTTACGGAGTTTTATTACTGTGGAGCTCTGTGATCCACTCATTCCACAAATTATTGTGAGTTTTGGTACTGTGGACCTCTGTGATCCACTCACACCACAAATTATTGTGAGTTTTGTTCCTGTGGAGCTCTCTGATCTGCTCACACTACAAATTATTGTGTTTTATTACTGTGGAGCTCTGTGATCCACTCATACCACAAATTATTGTGAGTTGTATTGCTGTGGAGCTCTGTGATTTGCTCACACTACAAATTATTGTGAGTTTTATTGCTGTGAAGCTCTGTGATCCACTCATACCACAAATTATTGTGAGTTTCATTACTGTGGAGCTCTGTGATCCACTCATACCACAAATTATGAGTTGTATTACTGTGGAGCTCTGTGATCCACTCATACCACAAATTATTGAGTTTTATTACTGTGGAGCTCTGTGATCCACTCATATCACAAATTATTGTGAGTTTTATTACTGTGGAGCTCTGTGATCCACTCATACCACAAATTATTGTGAGTTTTATTGCTGTGGAGCTCTGTGATCCACTCATACCACAAATTATTGTGAGTTTTATTGCTGTGGAGCTCTGTGATATGCTCAGACACACACCATTGTTTTTAAAAGAGCTGGAGTGGATCCTTTCCTTGGGGTCCAGTGGGGTTGCTGTAATGTTCAAACTTCTCGAGCTCTACTTACTCGCACGTTTTAGTGATGCCGGAGTGACGTCATAGCCCGGCTGCCGGCATCGCAAGGAGCAGAGCTAGAACTGCAGGAAGATTACTGCTCTTTCGCGCAACTGTGTACATTCTCAATGGATCCCTGGGCTGGCCGCCTCCATTTACCAAGGGCTGACAAATACCCAGGCAACAGGACAGAATTCCTAGTCGTCATGGTAACCTGGGATTTGTGGAGTCCTGGAGTGATAGGAGTTGTTATCTGGAGTAATAGGAGGAGTTATAGGGATGGTTATATGGAGCAGGTGGTGCAAATATCCAGTTGACCAGCAGGAGAGACGAGCACAGCACTCCTCTCCTGATGGTCATTTACTGTAGCGTGGCCGAGCGCCAGTACCTCCGCAGCCCGGCGCAGGAGGAGAGGGCGCGTGAGTGAGCTCTGATCTAGATCCGCATTTCCTGTATAGCTCCCTCGTGCGTGCCCTTTAGACGTCCCGGGCGCGCGAGGGAGCTATACAGGAAATGTGGATCTAGATCAGAGCTCACTCATTGAGGCACTGCGGTAGCCCTCTGAATCCCAGGCTGTGGATCCACTCCCGGTCTCCAAAAGGTAGGGAGACTGGGTTGATTGAAAAAAAAAAAAAGAGAGAGAGAGTGTGTGTGTGTGATGCTGCCCTACCGCTCATACTGTTCCTATCCCCTCATTCCCCACAATGTGCCCCTTATCCCCCCTCCCACCATAGCTCCTGTCCCCCACAATAGCCCCAGTTCCCCACAGTGCTGCTCTACCTCCCACAATACCACTCCTGTCCCCCCATACTGTTCCTAACCCCCAACATAGCCCAGGCCCCCACAATACTGTGTCTGCCCCCCCCACTAAAACTCCAAAACACTAACGCCCCAATCCCCTATAATACTGCCCCTTTCCCCCCACACTAAAGAATCAATCCTCCACAATATGGGCCCTGTCCCCACTAAAGAATCAATCTTTGAAAATATGGCCCCTGCCCCAATCCCCCACAATACTGCCGCTAGTCCCCCCACACTAAAGTCCCTGTCCCCCCATAATACTGCCCCTAGTCCCCCCTCGCTAAAGTCTCTATCCCCCACAATTCTGCCTCTATTCCCCAATACTACTCCTATCTCCCCTTGACTAAAGCCCTAGTCCCACACACACACAGTACTAAAGCCCTATTGTACAGCGCTACAGAATTTGTTGGCGCTATATATATTATAATAAAAATAAAGTCCCTATCCCCCACAGTAAAGCACAGTGACACAGAAAGGGGCTGGTGGGCAAGTAAGAGACACAGGGGAGGTGGGGTGTAGGACACTAAAGGGGGATATAACACACACAGGAATAACACATTCAAGAGGGGATATGTAACACTAAAGGGGGTAAGAAATTCAAAAGAGGGGTTACGAGGCACACAGGTGAAGATACTTTTTTGGGGGGAGGGGAGGGAAGGCGCGGCAAAATGCAAATTCGCCTGTGTAGCCAAAAATCCTAGTTCCGGCCCTGAGAGAGGGTTATATGGAGTAATAGGACGGGTTATAGGGAGGGTTATATAGAGTAATAGGAGGAGTTATAGGGAGGGTTATATGGAGTAATAGAAGGGGTTATAGGGAGGGTTATATGGAGTAATAGGAGGAGTTATAGAGAGGGTTATATGGAGTAATAGGGGGAGTTATAGAGAGGGTTATATAGAGTAATAGGAGGAGTTATAGGGAGGGTTATATGGAGTAATAGGAGGGGTTATAGGGAGGGTTATATGGAGTAATAGGAGGAGTTATAGGGAGGGGTAATATTATAGGGAGGGTTATATGGAGTAATAGAGGAGTTATAGGGAGGGTTATATGGAGTAATAGGAGGTATAGGGAGGGTTATATGGAGTAATAGGAGGAGTTATAGGGAGGGTTATATGGAGTAATAGGGGGAGTTATAGGGAGGGTTATATGGAGTAATAGGAGGGGTTATAGGGAGGTTATATGGAGTAATAGGAGGAGTTATAGGGAGGTTATATGGAGTAATGGGAGGGTTATATGGAGTAATAGAAGGAGTTATAGGGAGGGTTATATGGAGTAATAGGAGGGGTTATAGGGAGAGTTATATGGAGTAATAGGAGGAGTTATAGGGAGAGTTATATGGAGTAATAGGAGGAGTTATAGGGAGGGTTATATGGAGTAATAGGAAGGGTTATAGGGAGAGTTATATGGAGTAATAGGAGGAGTTATAGGGAGAGTTATATGGAGTAATAGGAGGAGTTATAGGGAGGGTTATATGGAGTAATAGGAGGAGTTATAGGGAGGGTTATAGGGAGTAATAGGAGGAGTTATAGGGAGGGTTTTATGGAGTAATAGGAGGGGATATAGGGAGGGTTATATGGAGTAATAGGAGGGGTTATAGGGAGGGTTTTATGGAGTAATAGGAGGGGTTATAGGGAGGGTTATATGGAGTAATAGGGGGAGTTATAGGGAGGGTTATATGGAGTAATAAGAGGGGTTATAGGGAGGGTTATATGGAGTAATAGGAGGAGTTATAGGGTGGGTTATATGGAGTAATAGGAGGGGTTATAGGGAGGGTTATATGGAGTAATAGGAGGAGTTATAGGGAGGGTTTTATGGAGTAATAGGAGGGGTTATAGGGAGGGTTATATGGAGATATAGGGATATGGGTTATATCACTGATTATAAACACTTTAAGGAAAACAGTTTTATTCATCAGAAACAAACAATACATCCATTAAGATTTACTGACAATATGATAAATATGATGTATATTCAATATGGGGGGACAGCCCAGCCATGTTTTTTTTAAATTAAAACTTAAATTATATTAAAATTTATTATTTTTATATCAATATAAATTTATTGCAAAGGTTCAATGGCCTTTAAAGTCAACATATATTTGAAATAAACTTGAATAGACTTATTGCAAACAATGTAACATTTCACTGGGAAGAAATGTGTGTACAAGGGGTCTATTGGGATGCAATGCACTTCCAATAAAGACCAGCAGAGGGCAGAGGTGACGCAGGTTACAGAAGATGAATGACCGTGACATGTTTAAGGGTCAGTCCTTCTTATAACAATGAAGACCTGAATGGATTACCCTCTAAACACACATTCCTACAAATAAACAACAAAATAAAACAATGTCATCATTCACACACATAATAACAGCGACATGTTAATGCTCTGATCTGTATAATGTTTTTTACTTATTTCCACAGTTCTGTCTTCGTCCTCTGCGTCCAGAGTCTGTGCCATATGCAGAGGGAGCAGCAAGGAATTCTGGGAACAACGCCACAAGTAGCGCAATCACTGACACACGGTGGATATATCTGTTGTAGATCAATTTCTTTAAAATAAAATATCGTAGAAAGTAGCCTATTGTTTATTCACCCGGAGACACCCTGAATGTTCCCTAGCAAAGATGGCAACAAGCCTGACATTCCTGAGAGCTCAAACCCCTCGCAGACGCCTTTTTATTGAAATGCAACTCGGATTGTGTCGGTCTGTCTGCTGGAATAAAATCCTAGCAGAATGCTTATTAATTACTGGGATATGGAATAACTAGCTCACCCAGGGTACGTAACCTATTAGTGAACTAAAAATCCCAATCCAATCATCAGTATTATAGCTCATTAACCGAGAGCTGACAGAGGGCCAAAGGATTTCAGGTTTATTGAGAATGGAAGCCATCAGGTCAGGAGCTCAATGCCTCCAACCCCAGGTTTACTTACTGATTTCGGTGTCTGAAGCACAGGGCAATTTAGGCACAATTCAGGTAGAGTTTGTCAAATTAATTGGTTAACAGAATCCAGTGACTCTGCAGCTCTCCATAGACTGAACACTAAACCCTGCAGCTCTCCATAGATTGAACCCTGCAGCTCTCCATAGACTGAACCCTGAACTCCGCAGCTCTCCATAGACTGAATACTGAACCCAGCAGCTCTCCATAGACTGAATACTGAACCCTGCAGCTCTCCATAGACTGAACACTGAACCCTGTAGCTCTCCATAGACTGAACACTGAACCCAGCAGCTCTCCATAGACTGAATACTGAACCCTGCAGCTCTCCATAGACTGAACACTGAACCCTGTAGCTCTCCATAGACTGAACACTGAACCCTGCAGCTCTCCATAGACTGAGTACTGAACCCAGCAGCTCTCCATAAACTGAACCCTGCAGCTCTCCATAGACTGAACACTGAACCCTGCAGCTCTCCATAGGTGAACCCTGCAGCTCTCCATAGACTGAACCCTGAACTCCGCAGCTCTCCATAGACTGAATACTGAACCCAGCAGCTCTCTATAGACTGAACACTGAACCCTGCAGCTCTCCATAGACTGAATACTGAACCCTGCAGCTCTCCATAGACCGAACACTGAACCCTGCAGCTCTCCATAAACTGAACAGTTCCCTAGCAAAACCACTAAGCCCAGCAGACCCCCACAGACTAAATATGGAATGCAGAAGAATCTAAGCTATGAATTTGATGGAATATATCTACTGATCGTGTGTTAAAGGACCACTCTAGGCACCCAGACCACTTCAGCTTAATGAAGTGGTCTGGGTGCCAGGTCCATCTAGGCTTAACCCATTCTGTTATAAACATA